ATAATAATTAGCCGAATTTTGATTAGTTGGGTTAAATCAAAATAAATAAAAGACTTAGTTAGAAGTAAAATTCAAAATTTAACTTTGGTTAGAATTAAGATATCTAAAAGAGAAAAAAACGACATGATTTTCTAGAGCATAGTTTTAGGATGAGACCTATTGTATAAAAAATTAAGATTTGAACTCCAAACTAATAAGCTTAAAAACGTTCTATTTTGATGGAATTTGTTAGTTAAAATATAAAGTTTTAAATAATACTCTAGCTTTCTTAGTGCAGTGTGATCTAACTACAAAAAAAAAAAACTGCAACATGTTGTGTTCCATAAACGGAAGTGTTTTGGTGTTTTTTTTTTTTTGCTGGTGTTGACCCCTCTTTGACCATCTTGTCCCTCTATATATCTTAACTATTATTTGAGAAGCATGTTTAATGAAAAAATCTGATGTGTAATCACCTTAGCAAAAGTTAGTGTAAATTAATGGTGACATGGAACTGTGACATGACAAACTTTTAAAATAAACGAAATTTTTTGATTGGTTGAGTTATAATTAAATAAATTATTAAATTATAACATAAATACACTATGTTATAATACTAAAAATAATAAATTTAAATAAACAGAAAATAATAGTTACTATGATTTCAATTTTTTTTACATATATTACATAATATATTCAGTTTGACACGTGTGTGTTGATTCTCATTGTAGATCGAGAATTTGAGATCAGAAATAAAATACAATGTAACTGGATAAAAATATAAATTATAAATAAGAAAAAACAAATATGAATAAGAAGTAGAAGTAAAAAAAATCTCTATAGTTTTGCTTTTCCGTAACACTTTCAAACTTTATTTAACGGAGTGCTTTGAAAATATTAAGAAAGAAATTTTATAATAAACATATGTGTGGCTCAAATTTTATGATGAATACATGTGTACAGACCAACCATACGAAATTTATTTTCTTCATCAAACCAATTCCTCAATATTGGAAAAAGAGATGAGCAGATAGCTACAGGAGAATTTTATAAAATATAATTTTACAAATTTTATAACAAATATTTATTATAACTTTTATTTGATATAAATAAACATATGAATAAGAAGTAGAAGTAAAAGTAAAAATGAATTTTTACGACTTTGATTCTCTATAAAACTCTCAAGCTATGCCTTTGGTTTAAAATACCTCCATCCCACATTTCTTTTAAATCTTCTAATTTAGAGAAAATATAGCATGTTAATTTAGAGAAAAAGTAGAAAAATACATCGGAGATGATCTTAATGTTTAATATATTATTCAAAGTTAAGAAAAAAATATGAGTCAAAGAAGACAAAAAAAAAGAATAGTTTTGATCGATTTTATGTTTTTATTTTGAAATATTTAAAATATTATCTTAGACATATTAATTCTTTCATGCATATATTTTTTTCAACATCTTAAAATATTATTTCAGTGATCAAGTTTTGTATATGTTATGATCCATTATATATAAGATTAACACATATATCAAAGTTAGGAACAGAAGATGTCTTATTTTGTAATATAATAATTAAATATTAAATATATTATTTTACACTTTCAACTATACACATATAAGTTTGAGATCCGGCTGGTTTAAATGCTGCAGTTACATAGAGTTTGGGGAAGCGAGCAATTGTGGGCTATAAAAAATTTGACAAAAAGGTGAGCGGAGAGCTACCGGAGAATTTTATAAAATAAGAATTCACAAATTTTATAATAAATCTTTATATAATTTTGATTGAGAAACCATATATCACAAAATATTGAAAATAAGAAATTTTGATTAAATACAAAACGTTAGAAACGGTTTTTGTGATTGTAGTTAAACTCCAAAAAACTGTGTTGTGTAAAATCATAATATTTGCAGAAAATTTCAGAAAAACTAACCAACACCTAAATATTACAATTCACTTATTTATAACTCATACCTACATGCATAATATACATAATTGTTTTATAAAAAATCAGTCATACATTATAAAAATATATATTACAAAACATATTTTTGTTATTTTTTTTTTAACACATAAAATCCATACTTCAATTTTTTCACAAATATGCTGGTAGATATAAATATTAATTGTTCCAAAATTAAAGTTGCATGCAAATTTGTCGTGCATGCATTTTCTTAACTCCTCGATTACAGTCCAATTTTAATTTTAGTTATAATCAATTTGTATTTATTAAAAAAATCTCTATATTTCCTAAGAGTGGTGATGGTGCGAACTAACCATCTACCCGCTTTTAGGATAAGTAGTAGTGGTAAAACCTATTTTGGTTTACTTAGCAATAGTTCAAAAAAAAAATATACTTAAAATATATATATTGACAAGATTATATTGTGCAAAGGAAAAAATAAATATAATATATAATATTAATCATATACAAATAAAGTATATTTAATATATAATATTAATCATATATTTAACAAATAAAATATTTTATAGCCCGCACCGTGTGCGGAGCCGATCACCTAGTATCAAATATAAAAGTACTACTGTATTTGCCTTCCTCTCTAAGTAATCTCTGATTTCTTCGATCAATTTCTCGAATCTTACTCTCGTTGATTTGATCTAAATTTGTTGTAATAACCATCTTGTATCCTATCACACAATATAAGAGAGTACTGACTGTATTCTGCATTTCTCTCTTCTCTCTTCGGTATTCATACTTAAACTATCAAGCACATATTATTTTCATCTAGTAATTTGTGTAGGTTGTACATCTTTTCTATTATTTTGATAATTAAGATTATTCATCAAAAAATTAGGTCTATGATATATTTTGTTTGATTCATCTTTTAAATTTATTAATGCGACATTTTTCGAACAACGTTTGCACAATTTGCTATAATCTCTTGTTATCATCAAAAGTTCAAGCCAAAATTATCTGTATAAAATAATAAAATTTTGAAATCTTAACACTATTAATTTATAAACAATGATATATATAATTAGTCAGATTTCTCTCCACCTAGAGTATCCACCTCAACAATTTTTTATTTTTAAAATAAGCTTCTAAATATTTTCATCTTTTGTTTATAAGTTTTTATATATTTTGGATATTCATTTTTGGCCCTTTCATATGATACTAATTTAAAAATAAAAATAAATATTTATTTTACAAAGAAAAAAATTTACAAATTCTCTATTTGTGAAAAAGAATTTGAAAGATAAACAAATACAAAAAATGATGGAAAAACTTACCAAAAATAGTTATCAAAATAATTTAGAAGTATTTATGGATAAAGCTAAAGTAAAATTATTCATATAAAACAAATACTTATTATATAAACCATAAAAACTACAAATTCTATATGAAATTAAAAAAAAAACAAACAAACAAAATGTGAAAAAGAGTTGGAAGGTGAACAATTATGAAAGTTGAGGGAAGAAGATTAGTTATCAAACTTAAAAAAAACTCAAAAAGATTAATGTATAAAACTAAAGTAAAATCATTCATACTTATTTTACTATGTAATTAGCTTAGAAATGAACTTGATTTATACAACGAAAAAAAAACGGTAAATACTTATCAACCATTTTTCTCAATAATGACAATATAAAGTTGATATTCGATGACTTTACTCATCAACCAGATAATATATCTGTTTTAATATGAAGTATATAGATAAACTAAAATAAGATTATTTATTATGCTTTTTAATAGAGTCATGTTGTTTACCTCTACATGATATGAAAATAGACAATAATATACTCACATACATTTGCAAATATATTCAAGTAGTTCATCATGCCAGATGGATGAACACATCAGAATAACTTCTCAAAAAAAGGGATCGAGGTGATTTCAATTTGTTGATATATGAAAATAAACTGTAGAAAAACATCAAAGACCAATTGAACAGAGATAAACAATTATGACATATATAATACTTATTGCCACGTATAAATATATGAGAAAATTTTGAAATAATTAATACATCACAATCTATATCAAGACATGTTTTTACAATATATATATATAAGTAATATAAATGAAAATAAAAATATAACACATTATAATAAATAGGATATATATACATAATAGTAATATAAATATCACAAATTATAAAATTTAAAATTGAATTAATAAATAAGTCTACGCAATGTGCGGATCAAAATCTAGTTTACAATAATACAGTTTCTTAATTTTTTTTTTTGACAAAAGAAATTCACATACTCAAAGTAACAAAATATTTCATTATCTTCTATTTGTTTCTTCCTTTACCTTCGTCATTTCTTCCATATTTTTGTTCATTTCTCCAATCTCTTCTTTATATTTCTCTCTTAGCCTCCTTTATATCTTTTTATATTTCTTGATTATGTTTATTTTTTACTCTCTTCTCCATCTGTGCCATATCTTTGTCATACTTCTTTTTCATTATTTTTTCCATCTTTTCTGTTAATTCTATAATTTCCATAGTTTTATTGATTAAAGTTAACTATATAAATATAAATTTTAAAATATATTTTGAAATCTCATATTATTTAACTATTGATTTAAACATGTACTTTCAAATCCATAATCATTAAAATTATTTTTAAGTAGTAAACTTGAAAAGGTTCTGAATGGTTCAAAATTTTAAGTATTTTGATGGAATTTATTAGTTAAAAATATATTAAAAAAAAAACAAATCTCATAATTTTAAGTAAGATTTTCATAAGAGTTTCAATAACAAATTGTAATACTGTAGTGTTGTCAAAAAAAAAAAAATGTAATACTGTAGCTTTCAAAATTCAGTATAGTTTGACTATCAAAAAAAAGTAAAACACCAAAACTGTAGCTTACATGAACGTTTAGGTGTTTTCCTTTTTTTTTCTGCCGTTGACGACTCTTTGACTCACTCTTACCATATCTTGTCCCGTTATAGTACTATTCTCTGATTTATTGAATCAATTTCTCGAATAACCATCTTGTCTCGCTGTCGTTGATCCGAATTTGCTCCCGAATTTGTTCCAACAATTTTACTCTGAGACGATGACCGAAGGATTTTGGCGCGGCGGCGACCGCGTTGAGGTGTTGCGACTCGTTTCCGGCGCGGCGGTTTATTTCCCGGCGAGTGTGGTTAATGCGTCGTCTATGAGAAAGAATCTCGTCTGGGTAGAGCACGAATCCCTAATGGTCGGAGGCTCCAAACGCATGAAGGAGTACGTGCACCCCACGCGCATCCGCCCATCTCCGCCGCCTTTCGAAATCAGCCGAAGCTTCGTGGCCGGAGACGAGGTCGACGTCTTCATAGACAGCGAAGGTTTCTGGGTTAGAGGCAAAGTGACGGCGAATCTCGGAAACTCAAAGTACATTGTTAGGGTTAAAGGCGGAGATGGTACGGAGACGGAGGCTAATCGCTTAAACCTGAGGCTACATCGTGAGTGGGAAGAAGGAAACTGGGTTCCATCTCTTGAATCGAAGACCAAAACTATCAAACTGAAGATAAAATTCAGAAGGAGATACGAATTTGAAAAGGGTTCTATAGTGGAAGTCAGAAGCAAAGAAGAAACTTTCAATGGTTCTTGGTTCTGTGCTCGTATAGTTAGTTCATTGGGTGATGATAGGTACATTGTTGAACACTTGAGATTCAAAAGAGATGGAGATGATTCAACCCCTCTGAGAGATTTAGTACAAGGCAAGAACATGAGACCTGTTCCTCCTCTAGTACAAGGCAAGAACTATGAGCCAGGGGAAGAAGTTGATGCTTGGTTCAACCAACGTTGGTGGGTCGGTAGGGTTTCAACAGTGGTCGAAAGAGGTTCTAAGTTTTTGGTTTACTTCATCTCCTCTGGTGAAGAACCGACGATCCCACATTTCAATCTGAGGCCTCACAAAGAGTGGATCAATGGACAATGGACTAGTCCTAACAAGGAAGATCCTCCACTAAAGAAGCGGAAACCTTGTGAGAGAGCAGAGAAAGTGTTTAACAAACAATGGAGTAGTAGTAGTCTTTACAAGGAAGATCCTCCATTAAAGAAGCTAAAACGTTGTGAAATAGAAGAGAAAGTGTTTAGCAATGGAACGATGGTTGAAGTTAGAAGCGATGAGCAAGGCTACGAAGGCTCATGGTACACTGCGAAGATCATAAGCTACTTGGGGGAAAACAGATACAGAGTTGAGTATCAAACGCTTACAACAGAGGATCTTAAAGAGTTGTTGAAAGAAGAAGCAAGAGGTTCGGACATAAGACCTAATCCTCCTCAAAGTGCTTGTGATCGATATGAGCTGAATCAACCTGTGGATGCTTGGTATAACGATGGATGGTGGTCTGGTCGAGTCTATAAGATAAACAGCGACTACACAAGATATGTTGTCTACTTCGAAACGACTGATGAGAGATTTGTGTTTGGTTACAACGACATAAGGCCTTGCCATGTCTGGAGTAAAGGAAAATGGAGTCGTGCCTAAGATTAGGAAGATGATTACTACTAATAGTAAACACTATTGTGATTAAGAGTATAGTTAACGTGACTTTGTGTTTATCAACTTGTTCTTAATGTTTTTACTTAGACACGTCTTTTTTGTTTTGTCATTAACCTTTTTGTTGTGTCTATCTAAACTAACAAATGTTTTGTGTTTTGGCCTTCAAAATTTACCTTTAAAAATGTGGATCCAATAGTTAAAAACTGGATTTTGATTATAAGTTACGTATTATCGGAACAACCGATAAAATGATGAAACACTAATTAAGAAAAAATAAACAAGTTGAACACTTTGCTCTTATGAATAGAACATTCTACACTAAACGGAGATTTCAACTTTCTGCAAGAACAATGATAATTTATAGAATGCAAGCAGTAGACAACTCTATTCGTGCTTGGTGTTGTATGATCTAAAGAGTAGAGACTAGAGTTGGAAAAACAGCTACAAAGCTAGGAATTTAATAAATGTTCAATTCACCAAAGAAAGATGTATGTGAGTACCTTGAAACTCTATGTAGTATGCAAATCCAAAAGAGCTTTCCACATTGTGTTTAGAGTTCAAAATTCCAATATAATCATTTTGTTGTACAATTCAATAAAGAAATTTAGTTCACGGCTTTCTCATCTATCCTCATCTATCATCTAGGCTTGCTTCTAAATTCTAATTTGTGTTCTACTAAAGAACTTTGAGATGTAAATAATTGAGTTTATATGAAAGCTTGATGTCTCTTGAAATGTATATGGTTACACGCCGGTGCAGCCAATATAACAAAGCTTTGATTTAGATATTTCACATTTATAATGCATGAAACAATTCACAAGCTTTGATTTGGGAATTTCTTCCATGGGGCAGCACGTTGAAGGTGGTCTTGACCCTATTTTTGCTTACACTACTTAGTGCTGAGAATGAGCAGCTGCAATGGTCCTCTTCTCAGCTTGATTGGATTGCTATTCCTTTCTCTACAATGCTGCAGTTTTTCAAGGTGTGATCTATTTTTTTTTATAGTAAAAAAATATATCTTGTTTTTAATATATTATATTTATTTTGTCTAAAAACATAATTTATTGTGATAAAATATTAAAAACTAAAAATGAATCGTGAGACTGGAAGCCCCAACACGATCTCGGACCCAATATCCTGGAGCGGGGATACAAGAGTCTGGAGGACAGAGGCCACGGCAGAGTTGGGATATCATTGGCAAGGATGTCACTGTCCAAGTTTTATCTTTCTTTGACTCTTCCATAATAGGTGAAAGTATCAATCACATACACATTTGTCTTATTCCAGAAACAAAACACCCAAAAACACTATCCCAATACAGACCTATAAGACTATACAATGTTCTCTATAAAATTATCTCTAAGATTCTAGTTTCCTGTCTGAAACCTTACCTTAACAAGATCGTTACTGAATCGCAAGCTGCTTTCATTCCTGGCCGGCTTATTTCTGATAACGTCTTAGTTGCCCATGAATTAATGCACTCTTTGAAAAGACTGACATGACCAAAGTTTATGATAGGGTAGAAATTCTGGAAACAACAATGCGAGCTCTAGGATTTTATGAAAAATAGATTCAATGGATCATGACTATGGTGAAAACTGACATATTCTGTTCTTATTAATGGAAAATCTTATGGACATATTTTTTTCTAAGTTTAAACAAAAATATATCTATTTTCGTGTCTTCGACAGCTTGATATAAATAATGGTTTTATGCAAATTAACCCTTCAAATATTTTTATTTTGCAACTGTACCCTCCATTATCAAAAAACGCAGGCTAACCCCTCAGGTCTCGGTCAACCCGCAATATGACCATCGTCCGTGTATAGATTTTAAAATAAATGTATAAGTATGTATAAATTATCAAAACTACACCGTTTTAATATTTTCTTTTGCAAATGTACCCTCCATTATCAAAAAACGCAGGCTAACCCTTCAAGTCTCGGTCAATCCGCAATATAACCATCGTCTGTGTATAGATTTTAAAATAAGTGTATAAGTATGTATAAATTATCAAAACTACACCATTTTAACATTTTAACAAAAACTAAACATATCCTAGGATTCAAACCAGTGACCTCTAAGTCAAGCGACATGCACCCAACCATCTTGTTATGACAGTTATAATTGTTATTTAAAAATTAAATAAATATATAAACACAAATCAAACCAATTATAAACCCAGCCCAATCTCTTTCTCTTTAACTTTCTCTTTTTTTTTTCTTATTTATCTTCATCTTCTATTCTTTTTCATTTTCTTGATCTTCATCTTCTTCAATTTTTTGAAATTACCTTAGGTACATAAACAATTTCTTTGATATTCCCATTCAACCTTTTCATAGATCTTTATCTAATTGGTTGAATTTAAATTGAATTAGAGAAATTTTTAGTTTTCAATCAATTTTCTAAATTTCAATTGCAAAATTTAAGGTTTTCAAGAGAAAGATGAATAATTTTCTCTAGTATAGATCTGTTTAAAAAAAATTCAAAATATGAGCCATAGATCTACTTTTTTCAGTCCTCCACCCAAAGGTTTGATCAGATTACTACTCCTTTACAGCAAGCCGACGCTGGTGATGACGAAGAAGACAAAAACAGTAATGGAGGAAGAAGATCGATCCAAGGAGAAGAAAACTGGGATGGGTTTAGGATTGATTTGCGTTTATATATTTATATATTACTGATATAAAAAATTTAATTCTCGTAGCAAAATGGTTGTGTATGTATGATTTTCATGGGTTATATTGTGGGTTGACTGAGACCTGACGATTTGATAATGAAGGATACAGTTGCAAACCAAAAACATTTGAAAGCTTGATTTGCAGAAAACCCTATAAACAATGCTTTCTTTCAAAATACCTTAAACGAGGAAGTATATGTTTCCCAACCACCTGGTTTCGTCGATTCAGATCGAACTCATCATGTCTTTAAATTAACAAGCACCACGTGTGTGGTACATGGAGCTAAAGGGGTATCTCGTCTCCACTGGTTTCGAAAACTCAATCGCAGACATCTCTCTGTTTATTCTCAATCACCAAGGGATCATTGTCTACGCGCTCGTTTATGTAGACGATATTATAATTACCAGCAACAGCAACATATCCACCAAACAAGTAATCAACAACTTGGCAACACGGTTCTCTATAAAAGACATGGTTCACCTCTCATATTTTCTGGGGATCGAAGCAGTTCCGAACACCACAAGGATAACATCTGAATCAACGGAAGTATATTCATGACTTGTTGGCTAAGATGAATATGCAAGATGCTAAACCCGTTGTAACTCCTATGGCCTCGGATCCACGGTTAAAATAAACAGGTGGTCCTCATTCTAATCCAACTGAATTTTGACAATTAGTTGTCAGCTTACAATATTTGGCATTTACACAACCGAATATTGCATGTGTCGTCAACAAACTGTCTCAGTTTATGAAATCTCCAACCTCTGGCTATTGGCAATCTGCAAAACGAATATTAAGATATTTGGCTGGCTCAACAACTCACAGCCTCTTCATAAGCAAGTTAAGTAATCTTAGTGTTCATGCATTTATGGATTCTGATTGGACAGGAGATTCTACAGACTATGTGTCAACAAATGGATACATCGTCTACCTTGGTGATAAACCAATCTCATGGTCTTCAACAAAACAGAAAGATGTCGCAAGATTCTCAACATAAGCTGAATATCGAGCAGTAGCCAACACCGCATCTGAAGTTTTGTGGGTATGCTTGCTTCTCTCAGAATTGAGAATTCAATCTACAACAACTTTGCCTATATATGGTGACAATATCGGTGCAACCTATCTGTGTGCGAATTCTGTTCTTCATTCTAAAATGAAACACATTGCACTGGATTATCATTTCATCTGGGAACAAGTTCAAGATGGAAAGCTGCAAGTCTCATATATATCCACACATGATCAATTAGCAGATGGTCTTACAAAACCACTCAAACGCTCTCGATTCAAGGCACTTAGAAACAAGATTGGCGTTTCGCATACACCGCCATCTGGAGGAGGTGTATTAGAGACTCTACATTAATGATAGTTCACATATCATTGCCCTCAATCAAGTGATACATATCTTATTGCAAATATTGTCTTTCCTGTTATTACAATGTAACTTTCCTGTGTCAATTTGGCGCAGTTGCCGATTGGGTTTTCTATTTGAATCATTAGAGTTTGTAGAGTCTTTATGATCAAGTTTTTATTTTTATTTTGGTTACTAATCTCCCTTGACTCCCATTGCTGTCTTTCAGGTATATGAACTTGAGATCCAGAGGTGCAAGCAATCTTGTGGACTTCATAGACAACATCAATCTGTTAGACAAAGGTCAGAGAGCAAGAAGACAGCAAGAAAGGCAGAAACACTTGCAGAGACTTGGGATGAACAATCAGGAACCTGTTATGGATGATATCAGATTTCAGGGTCCTCAAGGAGCTGTTGGCGCTCAGGGTATACAAGGACAGCAAGGTGTTCAGGGCTTACAAGGTGAGCAAGGACCAAGAGGCGCTGCACAAGCTCCAAGAGCAGCTAGACCCATTGGCGCTGGTGATGCACCAAATGCCTACAACAACAGAACTGGCATCATTCCACCAGCAGTGCAAAACAACAACTTTGAAATCAAGTCTGGATTGATTTCAGTGGTTCAGAGCAGCAAGTTCCATGGGTTGCCACTTGAAGATCCTCTCGATCATCTGGATAATTTTGATAGACTATGCTCACTAACAAAGATCAATGGAGTGAGTGAAGATGGCTTCAAACTCAGACAAAGCACACCAATGGGAGAAGAACCTTCCCCAAGGAAGCATCACTAGTTGGGATGAGTGCAAGAGAGCATTCTTAGCAAAGTTCTTCTAAACTTCAAGAACTGCAAGAATCAGGAATGAGATTTCAGGGTTTGCACATAGAAACAATGAAAGCTTTGGTGAAGCTTGGGAAAGATTCAAAGGCTACACACTGCAATGCCATTACCATGGCTTCTC